GTGTGTGTGTGTGTAAGAGACTCCAGTGTATTTGCAGACTAAGGAGAAGGCGCTGTCAGTGGTGGGGGGTGAGGAGAGATCTCAAATGTGTGACCAGTGGGTGTACTTAGCACCCCGAACTGTGTGCTCAGACAGGGTCAGTGGGGGAATGTATGGGAGTAGACGGGCAGCTGATTCAGAGGACAGAGGTGGCCGGGCAACCTCTGCTGGTGGAAACTGTCAAGCAGAGGGAGGGGAGGAGAGTAAATGGCCAGTGGAGAGCAGGAGGCGGAGGCCATTAGTCTCCCTTCCCTGCCTGGAGAGCCCAGGCACGGGCGGGGGGGGGGGGCGCGGGGGGGCAGAGCATAGGTAGGCATGTAGGGAGCCTGAGAACAAACATGTTACAGCAGCAGTGGGGGTTCCCTAAAGGGATTGCTGGGCAGGATTGTATCCCCACCTGTGGCCACATCAGGCGGCACTGCTGTCCGTTTTTTCTACAAGTTCAGAAGTCGCTGTGACCCTGTTCCATGTGTGCAGCTGGTGCGTCAAGTCTGTTTGCCAGCCTCCCCCCCCTTTCCCTCACCCCTCCCTTCCCCCACCCCTCCCCTCCCGCGCCCCTCCCCCTTTCCCTGTCCCCTCCCTCCTCAGGTACAGTAGCCCTTTGGCCCCTTTGTCACCCTGCTCTGAGAGAAGCCCTCCCTGCCTTTCGGTCGCCTGGGTCATGACAGCGGTGTGGCTTTCTGACGCACATGAAGCATGCTCACGCACATCTTGGAATTAGAAAAATGATGAGCCCGCCCTTCACTTCAGCTCCGGGGAAGTGGGTCGGGGGCTGTCTCGCAGCACTTCGTGGTGCGAATACCATGCTTTTCTAGAAACCAGTTTCTTTTTATAGGGAACAGTTACTCTGAAACTAGTTGGCTGCTGCAAGCAAAGCTGCCTCCAGGTCTTGGCTCCCGCCCTGGCCGCTCCTGCCGGCAGGGCAGGGCCCGCACCCACATTGCGTGGCTGTGGAGCATGTCCAGATCAGGTCCAGGGCTGGCGGTGGCTGTGGAGAAAGGGCGGTCCAGAGGGCAGATGCCATGGGGTTGCCCTGCAGCGTCCTGGATCTCTGTTTAAGCCCCTTCCCCAACCTGGTGACTTCCCTAAAGGCGCTCAGTGCATCTGTATTTGACGGCTGCTGCCTCCTACCCTGACGAACTTTGCCCGGTCAGATCCATCAGATCTGTGTCTGGCCAGGCTGGAGACTTCATTTACATCTCCGTCTGGCCACCCTCGCTCCCTTCCTCCCGCCCTCCTCTCCCTCCCTCCCTGGTTGAATCAAACAAGTTTCAACTCAGTGAAGACAGGTACAAGGTGTGTTAGTCTTGAAAACAGCATATGTATACAGAGTCGGGGGTGGGGGGCTTGTTTTAGAAGTAGCACACAAGTAATGAAGACTGGGGCACTGCCTGCTGGCAGCGCTGGTACACTGCAGCCCCACATCCCCAGGGGCTGTCCCCCCCGCCCCCAGGCCCTCATCGGCGGGAATCTGCATCATAGCTCTGCTTTCAGATCTGCGGGGCAGGAATGTGTCCGTCCACAGGTCTCGTGGACCTAGGTGGTCAGTGGGTGAGGGTCACCTTCTGTCCAGCCCTGCCTTCCCACAGAGAGTGCAACAGCCTAAGGTGGTTGGAACAGGTCTGGGGGTTGATGCCGCAGAGGTGCTGCTGATAGCAGGGGCGGCTGAGCCTGCTGAAGTACGCAGGCTGCTAAGTACCGCGTTAGGGCTGTTGTAGTTGCTTGGCTCTCGGTAGCCAGGAGGGAGTGTTATGGTGAAACCAGACCGCTCTTGCCCCTTTATGAAAGGCTCCATTTCAAAGGAGCAGATGCCGCGATACATGGTGTGGGAAGAACCCCGTGTTGTGTGTCCTTGCTAAATTTACTTGAGCCCAAATATCTGCTGGTGGGTGGGCAGCTATCTTCCTGACAGATGGGGTGTCTGTATTCCGCAGGTTCTGGCTCCCGGCAGCAAGGGGCGAGGAGCATGCATTTTGCTGAGCTTTTTCTTTTTTTTTTTTATTCCTCCGGCTGTGGCTGAGGACTTGAGCTTTGCAGTAGTACTGTATGCAAAACGGCAGCACTGCACTGCATTTTTGTGTGAGCTTTAAACTTTGGCCAGCTGCAGCTTCCCCATCTGCAAACCAGAGATACAGACTACCTCTGAGGGTGGTTTACGGATGAAGTGGCAGCTAGGGACTTCTCGGTTCGCTCTTCCTGCCGTTATCAACAGGAGCCTTAGTTTGGCAGGAACTTACAACCCAGGACTTATCCTCTGGCCCTGCCTCGCCTTGATGCCGTGACCGCGCCCTCTCGAACTAGGATGAACGGAGAGAACTGGAACTAGTCTGGCGCTAGGGCTTGGCGGGATGGAGAGGAAGAAGAGGGGTGAAAGAGCAAGAAAGGTTCTGAACAGCTTTCTCTCTCTCACGAAACAAACCTGTCGCTGCTCTCATCTGGTTGTGTAAGCAGCCACTTAAGTGGCCTGAGCTCGGCCATTTGTTGCTGGGATTACACACTTGCAGACGAAAGTGACAGTGCCGCCTTTCACTGGTCTTGCTGTCGGACTGACCTGCTAAGTATGAACGTTTTGCGCTCAGTGCCTCAGTTCCTGCAGACACTGCCTGGGTGGCTGTTGCTTCACTTCACAAATGAGGAAACCAAGACCGGGCCTCACTTCTGGTTCATCTGGGTTATTTGGGGGCAGGCCCTGGCAGCAGCTACTCTGCTCATTGAGCTTCCGGCTCTGACTTGGACTGTTTAGTGTTCGGGCCAGTCGAAAGGCAGCGGTGGTCATTTCTCAGTCGGGTCGGCGTTCTTGCCGTGCTCCTGGAGAGGCAGAGAGGAGGCTGCACTTAGGGGCGAGGCCATCCAGTGTCTCTTCGGGATGGGAGACTTGGGAAAAGCAAACCCAGGGGTCACGTGGTCTTGGCCCTTCTGAGAGTCCTCGAGAGGGCAGGGCCACGGTCAGAAATGGTGGTGTGCGCCTGCAGACAGAGCGCTGCGTCCTGTTCATGGCTCGTGGTGGAATGTGGCTGCCCCCAGGCTGACCGCTGCACTCGTAGATTCCCCGTTTGGGCAGGCGTGGACGCCTCCGCCGTCTGAGCTCGCCCAGCGAGCTCTCGCCTTCCCGGCACACAGCCCCCACAGCGCTTCCCCCAGGACTGTCCCTCGTAGTGAGGAGCAGCTGGACCCCATTCGGAATCCCAGAGATGCTCTTCCCTCCCAATCCCGCGGAAACAGCGTTTCCACTCCGGGCAGGACTTAGCTCCCTGCCGGCGAGGGGCCCACACTCAGCAGAGGGCAGCGGCAGTGCGTCCTTGCTGGCGAGCAGCGCCACGGGGACCGAGCGGAGACCCGCTGCCTGGGGACAGGCACCGAGGTGGGCGGGGGCCTGGTTTCCTCTCCCCTCGGCCTCCTGCCGGGTCGGGTGATGCTCATGGGATGGAAAGTCAGAGGGAGCGAGAGCAGAATCCGAGCCGGGACGCCCGAGGGACGTGGACTGCCCCCTGCTTGTCCTTGAGCTTGCCCCCAGCCCGGAGACCGGACTCAGGGCGTGACAGCGAAGAGGCTGGGAAGCGGTTGGAAGTGACCAGGAGCCGCGCTGCCCCGCCCGGGGAGGACCCGTGTTCCCATCCCCAGGCAGGAGTGGCCTCCACGGCCTGCTGCAGAGCAGCAGTCAGGGCCCCAAGGCACGGTGGCCACTGGCCCTGTCCCCGCCGCGGATTCGAAGGCGCCGCTGCCGGCCGCTTCCCAGCTCCGTGTGCACAGCCACCGAGGCGCGCTCTGACGGTGCCGCGTCAGTCTGCCGCCTGTGGGAGAAAGTCACCCAGCCCGACTCTGCCTCACGCTCCCCGTGTGTGATTCTTGTTTTGTTTCTCTTTCCTTTTCCTATTTTTAAGGCCAGTTCTCCCTGCAGCCCCTCAAATAACCACCCACCCGTTCCAAGAGCTAGAGCTAGCGTTCGCTCACAACCAGCCAGGAGTCAGTGACGGCCTTTCACTCTCGTCCACAGAAACAGGAGTCCTGCTCACACCTGCCCACAGGCTGGCTCTCCAGCCTTCCCTCCACAGCCGAGGATGCGCAGGGCGGCTGAGTCCGCACTCAGCTGCCGCAGGACGCGGCGCGCCGGCGTGGTCAGCGGGCGGCCATGCACCTGTGACGTCGGCCTCGCGTCTCCCTCTTCCCACCCTCACTTCCCTGATTCCTTCCTTCTACACCTTGGCTTTGCAGTGGAGTTTCTGGCACCTTCTCACCAAGGCTCCTGGTCTCTGAGTTCCGGGTTCCTGCGATTATAAATGTTGGTTTTGCAGGACCGTGGGCATGTGTGGTAGCCAGCGGTGGGCGGCCCTGGGGAGTGAGGCTGCCTCTGGTGAGGCAGAGCGCTGGGTGGTTCCCTTCTCACCCAAGAGCTGCTTCCCTCTGGGCCTTCGGGCTTGCAGAGTGGGAAAAGTGGGGCCCCCAGGGAGTTCACGGTGCTCGTCTTACTCCCCTCATTCCGGGAGCGGCTCAGCCCACTCTCTGTTGTCATGAGTGGCCCACAGGTCGCGGGCCTCCAGCTGGGCACTCAGACTCGCCCCTCACCTCTTGGAGCAGCGCCCGGGGCGGGGGCCGAAACCGTGGCTTGTGAGAGCGTTTCGCCTCCGCAGGGGATGGGGCCGGAGGTTAAGGAGGTGTCCCCTCATGGCGGGAGAGTTAGCTGTTTCAGGCAGAGCAGGCTGCAGCGACTAAGGGGGTGTCAGCTCACACAAGTCTAACAGTCTCACACGAACAGATACGATCCTTGAAAGTGGACTCTGTCTTACTCATCTCTGCACCTCCAGGGACGTGGGTGGCATATTGAAGGCCGGCAACGCTTGGGCGTGGAAGGGGGGACCCCAGCACCAAGGAACTCCGCTCTGGAAAGGAGTCACGGCTTGTGGAAATGCTGATCCACTTAGGTTTGGGTCTGCTGACCATTCTTTTCTCTTTCTCTTTCTTAGATTAATGTGACCGGGTCAGGTGGATCAACACCCATCCCAGTGACCCCTTTGCCGGGGAGGTCGCGGAGAGGGGGGAAGCATGGAGGAGAGTAAGAATGAGGCGACCAATCACGCGCATGTCCTCTTCGACCGGTTTGTGCAGGCCACCACCTGCAAGGGGACCCTTAAGGCCTTCCAAGACCTCTGCGACCACCTGGAGCTGAAGCCTAAAGATTACCGCTCCTTCTATCACAAGCTCAAGTCCAAGCTGAACTACTGGAAAGCCAAAGCCCTTTGGGCAAAGTTGGACAAACGGGGCAGCCACAAAGACTACAAAAAGGGGAAAGCATGCACTAACACCAAGGTAAGGGTGCAACCGCCTCCAGGCCTCACGGCCACCGGGAAGGAGGTCGCCTGCCGAAGAGGCCGTGTGGAGGTCGCGGTGAGGGCAAGGCAGCCCCGGCCCGCCCCAGAAAGTCCAGCGTGAGCTGGTGGAGGCGTGTGATCGGATCCCGTCATGGCTCTCTTGACGGCCTGCCACGCACATGCCGTGTGTCCGTGTGCCAGGCCTGACTCCAGGCCTATCTCGTGTCACACAGCGAACGTTCAGGGTGTCACCTATTTAAGCACAGCCCTGAAGTCTAGCTGTAGAGGAACGTTCTTATCTGGCTGAGACTATTTTGAATTTCATGTTAAGAGAACACAGGTCATTTAGCAAAAATAGCCAAGCCCTGTTAGCTTCCTGCCTGAACGTGGCCACGTTGGGGTGCTTGGTGACTCACCTTCACCCAGGCATCATTCCACACTCAACAACCACTGAGGTGTAGGTAGTCCTTGCCAAGTTGGAGGTCTGCCACAGGCTTCAGGCCGCTCTCCACCCTCTTCCAAAGGTCTGTTTTTGATAAGAAGGCTGGTGGAAACCAAAATATTTCTAGATAGTGTCATTTTTTTTCTTTTTCCTTCATCAGTGTTCATTTTGTACAATATTTGACTTCTCCCCTCAGAGGTCGCCCCCATAATTCTCCCACCACCACAGAGTTTCCATGAAACCGACGAGCCTGGACAGTGGCCAGTGCAGGGGGAGATGTGAGGACGGGGAGTGGGAGCAGAACACAGCCTGCTTCCTCCTGGGTGATCAGCTCTGTGAGATGTTTGGGACAAGCTAGCTGGGAAACGAGGTTGCAGCTGATTTGATGACTATGTCAGTCATGTCCTCTCATGAGTTTTAATGCGCCCAATTAGCGCAAATCTATAGATAAGTCTGGTAGGGTTTGCATGTGGGTAGCTGTTCATCGGCAAAATTCAAGAAATTCTTCGCTACTATATAGATCTTCAAGATCTTTTCTCAGGACTTTATGCCCAAACTTGGTGATTTCAGAACTCCGCTCAGCATTACAAAACTTTGACTCTTGAAAGTTGCCTCCTGACAATCATTTGAGAGGTAGGCCCACTGCAGGCCTCTCAAGGTTGCCTGGCCTGTGTATTTAATAATCTGTGTCTCCTTAGAAAGAAATCTGCTGGACTGAGAAGCCTTCCAAAAGGTCTTGAAACATTTAAACGTGAGTTTCCTCAGAGGCGGTGCCTTTGCCCTGAAGCCGCTGTGTTTTTCAGTGTCTCATCATCGGAGCTGGCCCCTGTGGTCTCCGCACAGCCATCGACTTGTCCTTACTGGGAGCCAAGGTGGTTGTCATCGAGAAGCGAGATGCCTTCTCCCGAAACAACGTCCTGCATCTCTGGCCATTCACCATTCACGATCTGCGAGGTCTGGGTGCCAAGAAGTTCTATGGCAAGTTCTGTGCCGGAGCCATTGACCATATCAGTAAGTAAAACCAACTCTCCTAGAGAACTCAGGACGCCCCTACCTACTTGTTCAGAGGAAGGAGCCAGGCAACTTATCTGAGGAAGTCACACGCTGATATCATCAGTACTGACCGTGCAGATTCCGCTGGAATCAAAATTGCTTCTGCAGCTATAAATTGTCTCCAGTGAAGTGAGCGTAGCTGCAGAGTTCCTAATCTCGGTCTTGGGTTCTAGCTGAGCTTTGCAGTGAGTGGGCTAGGGCTTGGGGCCAGGTGAGGAAAGAGACTTCAGTTTGGCATTGACCCTCTGGTGGTTGAGTCCAGTGAAGCAGTGCACAACGTGCTCACTGTGACGTGGTTGACACGCTCTGCTAGGGGCACACTGCCAGGAGAGCCACCCTTGGGGAAGAACTAGAGCCCTCATGTGCGTGTGAGTGGCGCCCATAAGACAATAAAGGAATTCCTGTGTTTAGGTGATCCCTTGAGCGGGCTACCACCGGGACACGCTTGCACACTCTTGTCATCTCCAGGCCAGCGCAGGGCCTGGCTTTCCTGAGAGCCCACAGAGTTCATGCAGACAGTGGTTTTGTTTGCCCGACTGTCACGTGGCCCAGCGGCAAAGCAATCAGCACAGCCTGTGTCTGCATTATGAAGTGGAAGTCTTGTTTATTGACCATCACTCATGGCTCCAGGGAAACCTTCCCATGCACCTTTGCCCTGAGCTTCCCAAGCTGTGCCCGTAGATACATTCCATAGCAGAAACTTCTGCTGTTTGAAGCTTTTGTGCCACTTTATCAGAAAGCGGCCGACAGCTGCCGACACTTTCCATGGGCAGAGGAAGGCTCTGCCCGCTGCCAGCCTGTCGTGTGTAAAGCACCCTGGAACCCACTCCTGACTCGGGAGTGTGCCCGGGAGTGATCACGGTGGTGAGCTGCGGAAAAGTCCTGTGGTCCCTGAGGGGATTTGCATGTACTCCCAGCAATTTAGTCTTGGGCTGCAGGTAAAGTCGGTCATAAGAGGGCCAGAGGTCAGTAATCCAGTCACTTGTCTGCCGGACGTGTGGAGGACGGGCTTCAGAGCTGCTAGATCAGGGACTAGATTTTCATCTTGGTGAACTTGGTGCTGCCAGGCCGGGCACCCGCGGGTCCTCTCCGGACATCAAGTTAATAAATGAGTCTCGTTACGATGCCTGGCAAGATTTTTCAGTTAGTTGGAGCCTTCGTTTCTGAAGAAACTGAGGTTGGATTGAGATGGCCCCGATTCTCCTTATAAGAATGTGTGAAGTGCAGTGAAGTAACGGGGGCAGGGCAGCTGCCGTGGGGAGCTCAGCAGGCAGCCCCACCCCACCCCCGCGCGGCATCGGAAGGCTGCGGCCACAGCGCCAGTGCCCCGTCCTGACAGGGTGTGGATTCGGGTAATAGCTGTGGTTCTGGCCAAATCTGGGGACGGTGGAAGGTGGGGCCCACGGGCGCTTCTGCACGCTGTCTTGGAGCATCTGGTTGTTTTGAACACCTCACCCACGAGGCAGACGAGGCCTGATGCGGCTCTAGAACATCTCTTCCACACAATTGTGCTCGCCTTTAAAAAAGACAACAAATTCTAGGTTGCACTTGGGAAATGTCTGCTCTCCAGGGGGCTATGGGAATCTGGTCGGCCGTGGCCGGCCGGTGGGGAGCTGAGCAGGCCTGCAGGCCGCCCCCTGCTGTCACTGCCTCACTGGCCCGTCCTGTGTCCGCCAGGTATCCGTCAGCTTCAGTTAATACTTCTGAAAGTAGCCTTGATCCTCGGCATTGAAATCCACGTCAACGTAGAGTTCCAAGGACTTGTCCAGCCGCCTGAGGACCAGGAAAATGAGCGTGAGTTGGGATGGACAAATGGAGGAAGGGGTCAGAGGCCGTGGGACAGGTGAGAAAAGATGCGGTTGGGGAGAGGACAGCGGAGCCCAGTGGTGGGGAACGTTCCTTTGGGAAGCTGCTGTCAAAGCCGCTTCCTCCTGGGGTTCGTGCCCCACTCTTTAGGGCGGGGTGCTGTGCCTGCTTGAGTATTTAGCGCGGTCTCAGATACCTGAATGTGGCTAGGGGCGACCCTCATTTTCACTTTGTTCCCCAGGCATCGGTTGGCGGGCGCTGGTCCACCCCAAGACCCATCCTGTGTCGGAATATGAATTTGAAGTGATCATTGGCGGGGACGGCCGTAGGAACACCTTGGAAGGTACCACGCCCCGCTCTCCTCCGCTGGCCCATCGCAGAGTGAAAGTGGCCGTCGCCCAAGCCTGTCCTCACTGTGTGTGTCCCGCCCCAAGGACCTGCTGAGAATGTGTGCGCTACTAATTCCCACTCAGTGGCAGCCCCCCTCGCCCAGCCAGCTCGGGCTCCGTTGTGTCCTGCCCGGCACCCTTGTCGGGGCGCTAGGAGACAAGCCGTCCCTTGAGGTCGGCACTGCAGGGTTAAATGTAGACATCGATGAACAGGGCTCTTCTCCCTTTTAAAATGGAATCCCTAGAAGTGAGAAATCGTTGGGGAGTCGGATTCCAGGTTGTTCATGGGAGAGAAACCTCATCCTCCTTCCTGAGCTGTTCTCAGGGTAGCAGGCAGAGGAGAGCGGCCTAAAATCGTCCCATTCCTACCCCCACTCCTCTTGTGTCTTCAACCCCCGCTCCTGTCTGAGTGGTCATCCTTCTCTGGCCAACTTCCTCCTCTGCGCATTTCTTTCCCTCCAGGATTTCGTCGCAAAGAATTTCGTGGCAAGCTGGCCATTGCCATCACAGCGAATTTTATTAACCGAAATACCACAGCAGAAGCCAAAGTGGAAGAGATCAGCGGTGTGGCTTTCATATTCAACCAAAAATTTTTCCAGGAACTAAGGGAAGCCACAGGTTGGTGTAGATACCCCTAAAGCAGTGAGGGAGAAACTTAAATCGCCTCTGAATTTTTCTCTTGGAGGGTCTGGTAGCGTGGGAGGCGTTTGGTGTGTACCATCCACCCCTCAGCTTTTTCCTTTGCTCTCGTATTTTGTCCCTGGCGTAATGCTTCCCAGACAGCCTATCTCTGCCTCTGGTGTTCTTCATTCTCACCACGCTGACTGGGACGCTCTGGGTTTGGTTGTTACTTTCTTACTTGTCTGCCGTGTCATTTCTGCCTTCTCCCACCCTCCTTCTCCCCTCCCCTACGCACTGGCCTTTGCTTGGCGCAGTACCTGCTGGCTGCAGCCCCCTGGCCTGTTGAGCGCCTGACTCCAGGCCCCGAGGCCAGTCTCCCTGAGTGCCACTGTGGGCTCGCGGGAAGCACATGCTCAACAGGATTGGGGTGGTAGCATGAGAGCTTTTGAGTAAATGTGGAGGAAATTCTGATGCTTTTTTTCTACAATGTGATGTCTTTCCATTACATCTACTGTGTAGATGAATAGAATTAAAAAGTCAACACTTCTTTCTCTGCTCCCGTGTCTGGCAGTCTCCCCGGTTCTTCGCTCAGCTCCCTCGAGAACTAGCAGAGGTTTTAGCCCGAGGACTGACCCAGATCCCCTTGCGAGAGGTCAGCCTTGGCCCTCTCCCCCACAGATGTGTGCTGACCGTTGCTCGCTGGTAGGGTAACTTGCGTGTCGACGCTTCATAGAGCAGGACAAGGGGAACAAAGCTTGCCTTCTTTCCAGGCCTGCAGGAAGTGAGAGTCTGGGCTGACATCTTTATTTTCTTGTTCTCTGCCTGGAGTTTTACCACCCCAGTGTCTGTGGACCCACGTGCAGTCCTTCTGGCTGCTCTGCTCTCCCTTCCTCTCAACTAACTTAAGTGCTCAAGTTTCTTTTTTGATTGCAGGTATTGATTTGGAGAACATTGTCTACTACAAAGATGACACACACTATTTCGTGATGACGGCCAAAAAGCAGAGTCTGCTGGACAAAGGGGTGATACTGCATGTGAGCGACGGGTTTCTGCCAGACTTCTTTTTGTGCTGTACAGGTCAATGTGGAGACCAGGAGAAAGAATGCTGTTATCTGATCAGTTCTTCCTGCCAGGGAATGAAAGCGAACACCTAACTCCCCTCCTGGGAGCATACGCTGATGTTTTTTAACTTGAAAACAATTATTATTATTGAGAATTTCTAATGTAAACAGAAGTGGAGAGAATCGTACACGCCCTCGTGTTATCTAGTTGGAACAGTGACTAGCGCCTGGCCAGTATCGCTTTGGTTCCACGCCCCCTCACCCTGCCTTTGGACCGTTTCAAAACAAGTTGCAGATACCGTTTCATGCATCAATATTCAGTTTAATTTTAGGGAAGTTAGTGTGTGGTTATTGTGAATTCCATACACACCCTTTACGGGCTGGACAGCAGGCCATCTTTTGGGAGGGTGTTGCACTAAGAAGGGGCTGGCGGTGCCTGGCGGTGGCTCTGCCCTTGTTGCATATTTCGGGGCCGCAGACAGCCTCGGGGCGGAGTTGGAGCCCCTCATGGGCTAACGGAAAGGGCTCCCTGTCCTTAGCCAAGTCCAGCTCAGACCATGTGACTAAGGTGTGACTTACCCTGCGATAATGACCTGCAACATGGAAGCAGAATTGTGGGGTGATGGCTCCTGCAAGGATGGGGTTCCTTGAGGAGCGTTTCTGCAGTCTTATGAGCCTGGGTAGAAGGACTTCTGCCCTATGTGACAGAAGCCCAGATGGGGTGCCAGATGCGCTGACTCGGGCCAGTCGCAGTTCCCACCAGAGACGCCTAACTGGCCTCAGAGTGTCCCTTGTCTCTGCAGATGCTGGTGACTCGAGCCCCTTTAGTGTCCATGACACTGTGGCCTTATCTGGAGCGGGGTGAGGGCGTGCTGGCGGGCATGTGGCGAGGCCCAGCCTCCCCCGCCTCTCCCAGACCTTGTGCGATCCTCAGTCTCGTGGTTCTGTGTGTGTAGAAGGAGAAATAGCACAAAGCACTTTGTTCAGCCCTTTCTGCCAAAAGCACAAACAAGATAACTATTTGGGTGCGTGATAAAATTGATTTGTTAATTATCTGGGGCTGTTAGCATTGCTCTCAGTAAGAACAGCAAATGAAGTAGCTGGCTTGTCGTGGCACTAAGTTAAGGCTCTAAGCTGCCATTTAGAATGATGGTTGCCAGTTAACATTAAGTCGGAACAGTCTAGGCTTCAAGACCTGGCTTGCTTCTCCTTGCGCATTGACTGTCGTGGGGGTGCAGGGCCTGCGTCTGGGCGCTGCCACGTTCCGACCCTGCTGTGGCCACTCAGTGCTGAGCAAACACTCTGTCCAGGACCAACTTGAGTGTTTGTGTTTTGGCTTTTAACATCTTGTAGTGGCAGCTGAAAGTGCCTTCAGAGCCTCTTGGAGACCTCAGGCCCCACTTCAGGAGAATAAAGACTTGGCTCCATATGCCAGAAACCTCCAAGACAGAGAAGTTTCTAGTCCTTTATGTGGAGAGCCCTTTTTGTCTCGTGATTGTTTGTCTTTGTTGGTGGGTTTCTGTAAAGCCTTTCAGAATCTTACGTGTTATTTTGAAAACCTCTGCTCCCCTTTCGGTATTATTTTTTCCCAGCCTCCTGGACCGCTCTTGTTCCCACCTCCACGTCTTTCTGACACAGGAGGCTTTGGGGCCTTCCTCTGGGTTCAGTGCCTTCCACAGGGTTGAGTGTTTTCACACTGTCCCAGTTGGCCAAAGCTACTTGCTACCTAGAACTAGCGATTGCCAATAATAACGCAAACTATAAAATGCCTTTCAGATTACAAAGTGCCGTGACGTCAATTATTTTATCTGGTATTCAGACCTGCTCTGTGAGCTGGATTAGACAGGATTGTAATAGTGACTCACTCCAAGTAAGTGAGGAGTCGGGACTATTCATTTATGCAGGAGACCTGTTCTTGGGGTGTGAGGAAATGCTAGGGGACGGGAGTGGCTAGAACCAGGCTCTGCGTGTGTCTCCGGCCTGTGAGGCATGTGTCTGGACCTGGTGCTTCCGTCTCAAGCCTCGTCTCTCTCTGGAGACAGGACTATGCCGACACAGAGCTCTTGCTCTCCCGAGAGAACGTAGACCAGGAGGCCCTGCTGGACTACGCCAGGGAGGCCGCCGACTTCTCCACCCAGCAGCAGCTGCCATCTCTGGATTTCGCCATCAATCACTACGGGCAGCCCGATGTGGCCATGTTCGACTTCACGTGCATGTATGCCTCCGAGAATGCGGCCCTGGTGCGGGAGCAGAACGGACACCAGCTCTTGGTGGCTCTGGTCGGGGACAGCCTCCTGGAGGTGAGCCCTAGGCCCAGCTCGGTGGTGGAGCGAGTCTGGCGGCCTGGGTTGTGGAGAGAACATTGTCCAGGTTGTATAGCATCCACGCCCCCCCCCCAGCGGAGTCCCACCCCAACCCAAAGGGGGTGGGGGGCCAGGCCAGGACCCAAGCCTGGCTAAGTAGACAGCAGAGGCTGTACCTGCTGACGGGCCTCTCCATCGGTTTGAGGTCAAGAGGCCCAGTGTCTGCACACTGGCCAAAAACAACCTCAACATCAGACTCTTTCCTGGTTCCTTCGTTTAGTTTCCCTCTTTTGAAAGGTAATTTAACTGTTTGCTTTCTTTCCCCTGCACAGCCTTTTTGGCCAATGGGAACAGGAATCGCCCGGGGCTTTCTAGCTGCCATGGATTCTGCCTGGATGGTCCGAAGCTGGTCTCTGGGAACAAGCCCTCTGGAAGTCCTGGCAGAGAGGTAACCCTGGCATCCTCTGGGAGAATACGGGGAACAGTGACACCTGGCTTACTCTTGTGGCAGGCGACAGGTTCTTTCTTCCATCTTAATTAAAGATATTTCCATAATTAAGACTGGAGAGGTGAGATACTTATTCTTAAGATATGGTTCAATGACCTGAAGAAGTATCCTGCCTTTCCTGTCTTAATCAAATTTGTCTAAATGTATACCACTGAAGCTTGGTTCCTGATTCCATTATGACAAGAATAGAGACATGTAGATAGTAAATTAGGGGCCCTCCCTGGTGGTGCAGTGGGTTAAAGCGCAGCACTATGAAGCTGTCGCAGCCACTGCAGCACAAGTTCGATCCCCACCCCAGAGCTGACCCACATGGCCCAGCAGGCCACTCCTTTCTCCCTACTAATCCCCTCAGCAGTGTATTTCAGTCAGTCCACCTGTTCTGCTCCCCACTTTGTCTCTGGTGAAGCCTCTCACACCCTGTACCTCTGGCCTGTACCCCAGTTCTGTATGTATGAATAATTAAATCTTTTTAAAAAATAGTAAATTAAATCCTCTTGTCCTTCAGCTAGAACATACTCTACTACTGAAATCAGCATAGTGGTCAGGGGTACAGTAACAGAAGAAATAAAAAGTGATTTGAATGCACAGAAGCCACTGCTTGTAAACTTTTCTCAAACTCCCATATGTTAGATATTTTGAAATTGAGCATCGCAAATGAACTGCACAGCCTAGGGTGTGCTGGTCGATGAACAGCAGACGCCTCGGCCAGGAGAACTAGAGAAACTAGGTTTCCTTGATAAAAGTGGTGGTCGGTAACATTTTAAGTCTGGGTAGATTTAGAGTGGCGACCTCTTTGCTCGTCTGTGGTTTTCTTAAACATGACACTGGCTTTCTTAAAAATACACAACAGCGAATCAGTTGCCTTTTAGGTCAGGGTGAGACCTTGGCCCACCCCCCCACCCCACCCCCCACCCCCGCAGCCAAGCTCCTCTGCTGAGCCGAAGCTCGGCCAGGGCCCATGGGGTCGCCGTGCCGGTGAGGTTGGGAAGCAGGGGCTGAGGTGGGCTTGGAGGAAGCCTCTCGAGGAGGAGGATTTGTCGTATCCTTCAGGTCGTGGGGGGTCATCCAAAACCAGAAACATTGCCAAAGGAGAGGGGCGTTGAAGGCGCCGTCACTGCGCTGAGCGCGCCTGGCGTGTCATCCGTTGCAGGGAAAGCATTTATCGGCTGCTGCCTCAGACCACCCCTGAGAATGTGAGTAAAAACTTCAGCCAGTACAGCATTGACCCTGTCACCAGATACCCCAATATTAACGTCAACTTCCTCCGGCCAAGCCAGGTAAGAGCCTGCCAATGACTTGTCTGCATCTGGGCCCATTTCAGGACCCGTCTGACTTGAAATAGTGAAGTTTGTCAGCTAATACCAGACATTCACACAGCACTTGGTCCTGATCTGAGGACATGGACAGATGAGATGGTTCACTTGAAAAATGTGAATCAGTGATGGGATTGGTCACTGCTGTCCTCAGTACTGCATTGTTCTCAGAATGTCTTAGGCTTTATTTCTGTGTGGAGAATGATGTTTTCACTAAGCATAATGATCCCAAAGCGCTCAGCAGTTTTGAGAGCAGCTCGTTTAAGCGCCTGACGCTTGCTCACTCTTTACCTGACGCTTTACTTGGACCCCAAGGCCTTGAGTATTTGTGTGTGCTCAGTGCCGAGGTCTCCGTGACTGTTGCTGGACAGCATGAAGGGTCCAGCAGAGGCTATCAGAGGGGCCTTGTGGCTGAGGTCTTCTTACCGCTCAGGTGTGTGTGTTCATACGTGAGCCCACCACATTCCAGAAGGACTTCAAGGCTGTCGCCATTGCTTCCGCCTAAGCTTTGCCCAGCCGCAGTCCAGCCTTTCACCGTGGTCATTCTGCTCTTTTGGGAGTTTGGCACCTGCGGTTGCTTTTCCTTCTTCATGACTTTTTACCTTGCTGCCAGGTGCGCCACTTATATGACACTGGAGAAACAAAAGATATTCATCTGGAAATGGAGACCCTGGCGAATAACCGAACTACCCCAAAGCTGACTCGCAACGGTGAGTGCCAGTAGTTTTTGTAAAATGCAGATGACCTGTTCCAAAAACCCCTCCATTTACCCCAAATCTGGCCATTTGTCATGTCCAACTTTGCTTTTGGGGTTCTTGGCTAGAAGTGATTTTGCCCCCAAGGGACGTGTGATGGTGTCAGAAGGCTCGTTTGACGGCCATGAGTGGGTGTGAGCTCCTGCTGGGGTGCTCCTGGCACGCGGGGGTGCTGCCATACCTCCGCCACTGCGCCCGTCGGTGTCCCACGACAGAGAATGACCCGGCCAGAAGTGTCAGAGGTGCCGGCGGCTGAGCAGCCTCCGCGCGAGATGTGATAGGCCACAGAGGCAAATGAGCCGCAGAGGCCGCCGGGCAGACGGAGGCGAGCTCGGGGCGCCCCGCGACCGCTGGGCCCGTGGCTCGGCCGGCGCCACCGCAGGGCGGCAGCGTGTGTGTTGAGTGCTGTACGCTGCCGCCACACGGCTAGGAAAGCGGCCCCTGACTCCGTGTGCTTTGAAGGCCCCCCGAAGGTCAGGGGAGCCCCTGGCCAGCTGCATGCATGGCGAGGAGGCGCAGGAGGCGGCGGCAGAACCGACCATGGAGCGGGCACGGCGGGCCCACCGCGAGCTCTGCCTCTGGTAGAGGGGGGCTTCACCAGCGTGCTCGGCCTCCTCTGGGCCGGGGCGGCAAGTCCCTTCCTCCCCAGGGTCGTGGGGGTGCTGGGAGGATGCTTGTTCCCAGCCTGGCGTCTGGTGGGGAGGCACCTGGCTGCCGGTAGTGGATATGTGAGAGAGAAGGGTGAGGGGCCAGGCCGGGCGGGCAGTGGCAGTTGTTTGCACTGCGGGGCGAGAGACAGGGGCCTGAATAAGGGAACAGGAGGGCAGAAGGGCTCGAGTCCCAGTGGGGTGTCTCGAAATTGATGTGCTGTGGGGTAGCGAGGTGGAGATATGACAGCCCCGCAGGCAGTTGAAACGTTTCATCCTCTTACGGGTTGTCTTCTTGGAAGCAGAGAGTGTCTTTCTTAGCTGCTCTGACACTTCAGAGCCTGGAGTGCTGACGTTGCCCCTCACGTATCAGATGGGTGGGTGTGCAGGTGTGAGGTGTCAGGTGAGCAGATAGGCAGACTCGGGGGCCGCTTAATACAGTTAATCTCTGAAGCCAGAACATCATTTCCCACAAACAGCGAGAGACGTAAATGTAGGAGGACTTTTCTGATGCACAATTACGTTTTTGGATCATTAAGTGACGTAGAGTAGGGTTGAAAGTTTTCGGCTGCTCTAGGTAAAGAAGCAAGACTTCTTTGGCACAACCAGGGTTCACCGGTTCTCCCACAGAGCTCCTCTGGCACAATTAAAAAAACGGAGTTTTATAAAGGCCGAGTTTTAGAAGATGTGTCAGTGCACTGACACATGTGCAGATTCCATTTTCCATGATGTGCCAGGAGTAGCCTGGGGGAGTTTCTGATCTGGGGCCCCTGGCCATGCCTGTGCAGTCCCACGGGGTTTCTTCACTGGGCTGTCTGCTCAGTGTCTTGGAAAGCAGAAGAGCGAGGCTTTGTTAGCTGTCGGTTTGATGTTCTCTAGATAGAATGAAACCTCTTCTAATCTAATCCTCCCAGTGCTACACGGAAGGGAAGGTGCTCTTCAGCCAACTGCCAAGCCAGCTGTCCAGCGAAAGCTTAGAACTCTGGCAAGTGCAGGTGACTGGTCAGTAGGTGGCGCTCTTCCACCTGGTCGGCATGCGTGAGAGCTGCCGGCGTGGTGGGCTTCCGTGCCTAGGCCCAGCCCCGCCTGGCTGTGACTTGTCATTTTGTCAGGGGGATGGACACTGACCTCATGAATCAGTCTGGGTGAATTTATCTATCTAAAACCCCACCGCTGGGATACCAGTTACCTTGCTGTTTGGTTTGCAAGAACAGAGATGACAGCTTTGTCCCTGCCTTCTGCAAATTTTCAAACTGGAGATACGTACCACAGAGAAGCTCCTGTGTCCACATACTGGCCACCACCCTTCCAGTAATGATTTTGTTGTTGTCTCAGAGTCCGTAGCTCGTTCGAGCAAACTGCTGGGTTGGTGCCAGAGACAGACCGATGGCTACGCGGGGGTAAATGTGACCGACCTCACCATGTCCTGGAAAAGCGGCCTGGCCCTGTGTGCCATTATCCATAGGTATCGGCCTGATCTCATGTAAGTCATTACCAAACTTTGCGTTTCATTTCTAGTTCCTGAAGCTCTCAGAACCCCTCTCGTCAGAGAGCCAAACACTGTACTTATTCCTAGAATGAGGCACACATACTCTATAAGGCAGTGATTAATTTTGATTTAGTTCATACTTTAACCTCTGTGTACCAAGCATTGTGTAGCTTGGCCCAGGGGTGACTGGCTGAGCTTCTTAAGCTTCAGCACCACAGCACGCAAAAGGTCAAACACTGGCTTTCACATCCACCTGGACCAGTGAACTTCATGCGGGGGAAACTGCTGATCGGCCATAGGTTGAACTCTGGCCCAGCCAGCTGCCTCTCAAATGCTGTTGGTCGCAAGGAAAAGCTGGCTGGGACACTTGGCTGGCTGAAGGCGAATATGTCACTACCAGCAAAACAAAACAACAAGTCCTTTCCCGATTAATGATAAGTTGTTGCTAATATTTCTTTGTTAAGGGCTACACATTTTGCAAACATGCTCCGTCAAGCCCAGTTCTCCTTCCTTCCCTGCCTACGCCAGTCACATCTCCTCGTTGGGCCATTCTCTACTCACCTGAATGCAGAATACTTCCTTCCCTGCCTACGCCAGTCACATCTCCTCGTTGGGCCATTCTCTACTCACCTGAATGCAGAATACTTCCTTCCCTGCCTACGCCAGTCACATCTCCTCGTTGGGCCATTCTCTACTCACCTGAATGCAGAATCAGTGCGCCAGGCTGCTCCCAGGGCAACGGCAGTGACCTGTGCGCTCAGATTTCCCCCATAAGCTTCCGCTACCATGGCAGCCAAGCAGCAAGATGCAGAAACAGCAACAGAGCTGGCTGAGTTGTTTCAGCTGCCTCTCCTTTCCTCACTAGGTCCACCTCAGGGCCAGATTTTGTTTTAACAGTCACTTAAGGAATCCTTAAAGACACCGTCCTGTTTATATTATAAGTTAACGAGGCAAGAGCTAGTAAAAACAGCTCCGCATGGTGTCATTTAGGAATGGGGATTTCTGGTCCTTTCAGGTAAGGGCAAGTGACCTGCATTGCTCCTGCCCCTTAGTGCACACGTAGGTGGGAAGGGTGGTAAAGGTGAGGGCAGACTTACTCAGCCCCACCAGAAAGCGGGAGGTGGACAGAGGAGTGGGGGCTGTTTAAGACAGATCATGCAGAATGGCACGGAGGTGCTTTAGAAGGGGACTCATTTCTGTTTCTATGGGGGGCGGGGTAGTCTGGGCAGGAAGGCAGAAGCAGCAAAAGGGAAAACTGCAGGGAGGCAGAGGGCTGCATTCCTGTCAGGGCAGCCCGAAACCTGTTGGGAGAAGCCTAGGGAACGTTCTCGGGAATGTGGTCAGTAGGTAACCTGGCGCTGTTTAGACCACAATGACTTCTTCCGGGCTGAGGCTTCTGTGCTTCATAGGCTTAATATACAGAGAAAAGGAATTTAAAAAAAAAAAAAGAATGGTTGTAGGGTCAGTCGGTTAACCAAAAAAATAAAACCTGGTTCATTAACCTGAAATCAGCTCGGGAGAATCTGTTGTTCTTATTTGGCTAAATACAAGGAGCTAGAAATTATGGGGAAATTTTTGTTAATCTAGATACTTGGGAAAACTCAGGAAATTTAGCAGTGGAAAATCTTCTGAGGAAGGTCTTGGAATTTCCCTTGGACTGAAAGGCTGAGAATGTCAAGTCCAAAGGGCAGGCGGGTGATGGTCCCTGGCCGGCAGAAGCAGTGTGTGCCAGAGAGGTCTCCCACCCCAATAGCTTCTGTGCTACAAACGAACAATTTGAAAATCATTCCTATTATGGAGCTTACGTTTAATTTCTTTTTGTCGTTAAATAAATTTGTGTTACTGGGAAAATGGGGGTGGTTTCCTCTACGGGTAGATCTTTCATCAGTTCTCCTAGAGGATGAGTTATACTTCCTAAGTAAAAGGAAGGACACTGAGAAGGGAGACAGAAAGGTTTGTGCTCCGGGTTCAGGCACGCCCAGCACCGAGGCCTGAGATAAAAGCCCGGGAAATGCCAGTGTCTCCAGGACGTGTGTTTTCTGGCCTGGCGACAAGCAGCCCGTCTTGATCCATTTTCTTTGTTCTGTTTCTCAGAGATTTTGATTCTTTGGATGACCAAAATGTGGAGAAGAATAACCAGCTGGCCTTTGACATTGCCGAGAAGGAACTGGGCATCTCGCCCATCATGACAGGCAAAGAGATGGCGTCTGTGGGCCAGCCTGACGCGCTGTCCATGGTGATGTACCTGACTCAGTTCTACGAGATGTTCAAGGACTGTCTGCCCTCCAGCGGTGAGCGCCAGTGCCCGCCCTTCGGCCGCCCCGCCAGAGCAGGCCTGTGCTTCCTCTGGGCATTTGCCGGTCGGCCCTCAGGGCCAGTCCTTGCGGCCTGGCTGTCTCGAGCTCCCTTCCCTGCACTGCCAGGCATTCTCTCTCGAAACCTAGAACCAGGCGAAAATTGTTTCTATTAAAAATGCTTTCCCTTGACTCTACCCCCTTTACTCCTTCGCTCAGACCCAGTCATTTGGAAAAAAGGGCTCTTTCTGGGGCCCGCCTTGGCTCCCTGCACCTGACATCCCACCCCACCTCCTGTTTCCCTGTTCTTCCCACACTGTCCTGCACAGCCCGACGAACCCCAAATCCGTATACCCTCAATTTCGCGTTCCTTGTGCCCTGGTCTTTCGCACTGACTGGCACCATTTCTTGACATTCTCCCTTCTCCCCTGGCTTCTGAGGGGCAGCCTCATTCTCCTTGTTCTGCGACTTTCCCCCTCTGGCTTTTCTTTCTTCTCATGCCTCTTAGAGTTTCCCAGAAATGTTTCGTTGGCCCACAGCCTGCTGCTACAAAAAAAAAAAAAATTTCTCTTGTCCTGTGGAGTAAGTTTAGCATCCTGTGGAGTAAGTTTAGCATCACACTTGAGATTATTGACCATGGCACCTGGCCTGGGCTTGCTGTCAGTACTCCCAACTCGCTCAACCTTTGACAGGCTACAAATGCCCTGCACCTCAGTTTCCACATCTATAAAAGAAGGATGACATTCAGTTAGACTGTGGTATCCCGAGAAGAATGGTTGCAAACAAAAGCACTTAATAAACGCTAGTATTATTTTACGAGTTTTGATTTTTGTTTGGAAAATCACTGGTGTTGCCAGTAAAACACGGCACCACTGAGTCTGTGCCACCATTCTCCGGCCTCATCCAGCCCAGGTGCTCTTAGAGATGTCTGTGGCTTTCCCTGATCAGCTACGCAGTTCTGACAACAGAAATCCACCAGATCCATAGACTCAGTTGGGGAGGGGGCGTTACCCAGTGAGTAGCTGAGCCGGTGCCTGGTGACCTGTGCTCCAGACCCCTCCCCCCGGTTTCGCTCTCTGCCTGTAATATTTATCCCAAAGGTAAGGCTTCAGCACTCAGCTGTAGCTAACATTCACGGGGGATTCCATCTTGTGAGAATCACGTTGGGGGCAAGGGGATGGATATAAAGTACATCGGAAAAAAGATCGATTTTGTTTATGTAGATGGAAGAGAAGAGTTTCAGTGTCAGACCTGAGTCACGTTTCCTCTGTGGGATTTCCTGCTGAGATCTGTGTGCTTTTAGCAGAGTGGGTGAACCATTAGATAGGAGGCTGGTTCTGGTCAGTGCTTTGAGGCCCCTCCAAAAAATATTTCTTCCTCTTCACAGATGCCTTGGACCTGAATGCTGAGGAGAAAGCCGTCCTGATAGCCAGCACCAAATCTCCCATCTCCTTCCTAAGTAAACTGGGGCAGACCATCTCTCGGAAGCGTTCTCCCAAGGTAAATGGAGACTGCATTTGTTAATGGCAATACAGTCGGCGGAGAACACTTCAGTTTTAGGTGTGCCACGTAGTGGCCTGATAGGTACATATTTTGTGACATGCTCACCACGGTCAGTCCAGTTAACGTCCTTCACCACACATAGTTACAGAAGTTTCTTCTTAGGAGAACGTGTAAGATCTGCCCTGAGTAGCTTCCAAGTAGGCAGTGCAGTGCTATTTTGGCGGGTCCTTCCACCAGTCACGAAGCCAGAGGAAAGCGCGAGTGACTCGTAACTCAGGTTCCTCCTGTCTTGCTGTAGGATAAGAAGGAAAAGGACTTGGATGGTGCTGGAAAGAGGAGAAAGACCAGTCAATCAGAAGAGGTAAGAATTACTGTGACTTGCTAGAACGATTATATTACTAATTGCCCCTTTCACTTAAATTTATTAAATTCCTTAATTTCCCGATTGATGTTGCTAGAGCTTTCCATTTTCATCTTTTATGAGAATTTTTGTGGGCAGTTGCCTTTCCTGAGGCCTGCCTTCAGTTGATGTTTTGGAGGACCTCTGAGGGAACACACACACACACTCACGTGTGCACACACGCGCAGCTCTGGGGCTCTCCTGCCTGTCTGGAGTCACACAGTTGGCAGGCAGGGGCTTCCCTGGTGTCGAGAGCAACAGAATTCTGAGTGTCTTCCTATCCAGCCCCTGCGCTGAAATCCGACTGACTCCATCTGGAGATCAGAACCCTGACAAGTAGCGATACCAGCCACGGTGGCAGGCACTGCCTGGCATTGGAGGGGAGGGTGTCGGTGAGGGCCAGGTTCTCTGACAAGCTGATCCCCATTCGTCAGGAGGATGCACCCCGGACCTGCAGGGGAGGAAGGCCCACACTGGTGAGCACCCTGACCGACCGGAGGATGGACGCAGCTCTCGGCAACCAGAACAAAGTGAAGTACATGGCAACCCAGCTGCTGGCCAAATTTGAAGAGAATGCCCCTCCTCAGTCCACTGGCATGCGGAGACAGGTCAGCCCCTCTCACGCCCTGCCCGCCCAGGGGGACCAGGCCAGAGTCATGGGGCATCCCCACCGGGGTGGGAGGGCCAGGCTCAAACCCAAGACGCAGGGCTTGGACTGGTGTCTGGCCATTGCCGCTCAAGGGCAGCTCACGGGCACCTCGTGCTTTCAGGGACGCCTCCTTCCACCGTCAGGCCCGGGGGTCTGTGTCAGAAATCACCGGAGGGGTTTAAAATGCTTAGGTGTGAGTCTGTGTCCGGACACACGCCTATGTCCATAGACATGCACACATGTGTACTGAAATTAGAAAAGTACACGCTCATTGAGGAGAATGCTGAAAAGTATAAAAAGATGGTATCTAGCATACCTCTCATTCTTTAATATTTCACTCGATTTCTTCTGGTAGGGTTTTTTTTTTAGTGCATTCTTTCTTATCTTCATCATTGAGGTCATTCTTAATAATACGCTTTTCTGCCTCTTTCATGTAACTTTGGCCATGTGCCCATGCCATCCTAAACTCCTTACAAACATCTCTAAAGTGTGTGTCTTCCGTGCTTTTCTTCTTCTTCTTCTTCTTTGTCTAATTCTGGCAGCCTTGATTTAGAGCCCTGTGTAGGACTGTGTAGGACCCAGAGGTGGACTGTGCTTTCTTCTGAGGTTTCCTCCCTCCAGGACTGGGTTCCTCGTCTTCCTTGAGGTTTACAGAGGGAAACCTCAAGTGATAAACTTTCTTCCATGTGTTCCAGGTGATTTTCCTAGTCTGTCCTTGAACTAGGTTAAGAGTGTGAACTTTCAAAGATTCTTCATGACTGCTGACTTGCATCCCCATGAGTCAAGCCTGAGGGTGCCCGAGGGGAGCATTTCAGGTGTCTGGCGAGTCTCGTCTCTTCTTGCTCGTCTAAAGGTCTGAAGACTTCTTGTGTGAGAAGGGGCTGGGGCCTGGAGTTCTCACTCTTTGAGTCTCCTGTAACCGCCCTGGGGCCCTGAAGACGGCATCTGGAGGAGAGGGAGCTCATTCTCTTCATTCTTTTCTCACTTCCTCCTTTCCATTCTCATCCGCCATTGTTTGTACAGACCATGGGGGAGGCGGGAGATGGGTTTGACTTGGCTTAGAGTCTGGCCGTAATCACCTTCTCACATCTCATTTTGACTATTAATCTTCACACTCTAGTTATCTCATGCTGTGGCTCACAAAAAAGATGATATGTTGCTGACCACTTGGGGTAACCACTTGGGGTGACCTCTTGGTTCTTGCAGCCCCAGGTTCTGCTCCTCGCCCCCCAAGCCAGGAAGTCTGGTGTGTGCCTCCACCGTAGGAAGTGTGCCCCAAAGAGAAGGTTGTTCTTGCTTTGAATGGCGAGATTTGTTTTCCAAAATGATTTAGTAGGTTAGGCTCAGAGGGTTGAGATGGGGAAAGGATAGCAAGGTAATAATTAGTTTCCCTTTTTTGCTCTTGCGCTCGCTTTTGTGGGGGTGGAGGTTGTTTTCCTTCACAGCTTTCTAGGAATTGACTCTGTCTCCCCCACTCCCAGCTCAAAGACGAGTGCCTTCCGTACGAGCACCTTCTCCATGTCTTCTCCTGTATTAATGTGTTTTATTTTGTTTTGTCTCTATGTCCTGTCCCCCTCCCACGCTTGACCCGTGTGTCACAGCCGACACAAGCGCGTGGGTTCAGCCAGCCGTCCTGCTGCCTACCTGGGCAGGGTCGCCCTGCTCCCACCCCCCAGTGGAAACAGGTAAAGGACTTGCTCACAGGCACCAGATGGGTGCAGCCCCCCAGTGCCTCCCCACCTCACTTCTCCGCCCGCACTGCACTTGAGGCTCCAAGCTCACTAGAGGGAAGGCCCTGTGCCCACCGGTGGTGACTCAGAGAGCACTAAGGCCGTGCCAGCTGGACTCTCTGACTTGTCCGACTCCTTGGGGTTTGAGAACCAGTTCAAAGGGTACGCTGGCGCTTGGTGCTGCTGAAGCCTGTGCTGTCTCGTGCCAGCCCATTGCCTTTGGGCTTTGCTGTTACAACCTTTTGGTCCAAGCGGACTTTTCGCTGTGTCCTGACTACCAGTGGAGGGAGAATTCTGGGCTTGTAAAGCCTGAGAATTGGAGCATGTTAAATAGGATAATGTCATCCAAGAAATAGCATTGAGCTGTTATTTTTATGTGCTTCAAACCCCAAAGATGGTCACAGATAGTCTTGGTGTTTTGTCTACATTACTCTTTCTAGAAATTTTCACCTCAGCCTCTGTAGGGTCTCCTGGAAAGCTCTCCCCTAAGCAGTGTGGAGTTGGAGAGAAAGGATGGGGCAATGGGACCTGGTTGACCACAGGAAACCTGTCAGAGGGCCGGGGGCCTCCGCCCTGTTCCCGCCCTCTCCCTGGTCTCAGGTGCTCTGTTCCGTACTTTGGCTTCCTTTAAGACGGACGTTCTAAGAGGCCAGATGAACTGGCCTCGATCACTTCTGAGCCGGAGAGTGTCAGCGCTTGCTGGAGGAGCCGGGGAATGGCATGTGGGTTTCATCTGAATTATATTAAGGGCAGAATGTTCCTTTTAATAGGCCACGTTAAAGTGAGGGCCCTTGAGGCTGAGACACAGTTGGGAGCAAAGTCTAAACTCAGGACAGAAGCCAAGTTGCCTCTTTCTCTGTCTGGGGAGGTCACCTGGGATGGGGGAGCCCCCACAGAAATTTACTTCCATTTTGCCCTGGCCTTGGCATCCAGTTGAAGATTCGGTGAGGCTTGTTGAAGGAGGAAGTGAACTCTAGATTCTCCAAACTGCCACTGTCGTCCTCATGAAAGTCTTGTGAAATAGGAGGCGTGCGGGGCAGGGAAGTCAGCCGCAAGGTGCAGATGTGCTGCTGGGGCATCTCGGGCAGAGCTGAGCTGAGGAGCCTGGCTGGGCCGAGGCCTGTGCGTGGGGGCTGGCCCGGGGCTCATCCCTGACGAGCTGCCCTAGTGGGGTGCCAGGAGCTGTCTTCTCCTGTCTGCGACGCGCCTGGTGGCCGCTGGCCTCAGGTTGGCTGGCTCACCCTCCTGTCACAGTCCCCGAGGTAGGACACCGCTGGGCTCCTGGGCAGCAGGAGCTGCCCTCTGGTCAGACCTGGCTTCTGTGGAGGGGCCCAGAGACCAGGAGGAGCAGCTGGGTGGCGAGACTCGGTGAGTTGGAGTCCAGGAGCGGTGAAGTCCGGCTCAGTTCTGTGCACGTGGCGCTGGGAAGTGTAAATTCACGGGGTGGCTCCGCGGGGAGAGACCTGCAGCCCGAGCCGGGTGGCCTTCGCACACACCTTCTCCCCGCTCCGAGTGAGGGATGGCAGCGTCTTGGCCTCTGTCTGCCCAGAGCAGGCATTGGCATGCGGGCCGGGTGCTCCAGAGACCGGGAATGCTGCCGCCGGGGCCCTCCGCCTCTGAGGCCCCTGACCGCTGGCCTCTTCTATGCCCCCTTAGGAAAGGGGCTTGAGCAGTCGACTGCACCTCCTCGTGACTCACTGTGCGCCTCCCTCGAAGTGGCTGAGACTGGGGCGGGCGGGTGTGGCAGCACCAGGACGGCTGGGTTGGCGCAGGGGCCAATTGCGACGTGGCCATGGCCTGAAGAGGGGACATGGATAGCAGCTCTGCTTGCCCGTGACCGGCCCTTTCTGCCTTCCCATGGCAGCACCTGGGCCCTTCGCTTCTGTGTCCTTTGGCTTCTATTTCAGAAACGCTTCCTGCAGGCAGACTGCACATTACCCCGCCCGGTTTGGAAGTGGACTGTCGCGTGAGGGGAAGGGTCGGGCAGCGCCCCGACTCTGCCTGGTGCGGCCCCGTGACACGGAGCCTTCTCGGGCCCCGGAAGTGCAGTTTCTTAGGCCCTTCCTGCAGCTTCGGCGTCATCGCCGGCCTCGCAGGAAGGGGCGCTGTGGAGAGGCCCTGTGGGGACGGCCCTGGGCGGATGCATGGGGCCTCGTGGTGCAAGATGTGTCGTTTGGTAGCCCCTGTCCTGCCCGCCCCTGGACTCCCTTGCTAGCTGTGTGGAATGAGGGGACTGAGGAGAGGGGAGCAGAGGCAGAGTGTTGTCGGGGGGCGAGTGAGAGCATCGCCCTGCTGCCGGGTGCCGGCCACCACGCTGTTGGGGCGGTCAGGCACCTTCCTCGCGCCGTCGGCCCTTGTGCCTCTTCTGTTTGTCACCACATCCACGCGCTCTGTCCCCAGCTTCCTCGGTAAAGACAACACAGAAGGCCGCGCCGTGGCCCCTGGCCTTCAGAAAGTGCGGCAGGGCCGGCTCTCGGCAGAGCCCGCTGCGCCCTGCCCTCGGGGCCGGGTCCTCCCCAGGCCCAGGTGAGGCATGCCGGCCGCCCTGGCGGCGCAGGGACTTGCTGTGCGGATGGCGGGCGAGCGGGGACCTCGGGGGCCTTTGGCGAAAGCCTTTCGGACCTTCTGGTACCCACTTTCACGTGCCGCTGTTTCACCAATGTTCTCTCTGTTTCTGTCTGTTGGTGTAAAAGCGACGGGAAAAGCAGCATTCTCGGACCTGCCCCAAAAAAGTGATCACACTCTCTCCTCCCCCTCCTCTGCCTCCCTGTCGGGCGCACGGCAGACAACAGGTGACCTTCTCTGCATGCGCCTTGTCCTGTCTGTGTCCCCCGCCTGTCTGTGCACAGACCAGCCAGCTCCCCTGCTCCGTGAGCACGTTTAACCAAAGCGCCCGGACGTCCTGTCGCGACCTCTGTCACTGCAGATGAGCAGTCCTGGTCAGACCCCAGGACCGAGTCTGTGCATTAGGGCCATGTCCCGGGAATAACAGTGACATGTAAGCTGCAGTTATCACACACCCCAAGTCCAGAAGCCCTAGACAGCCACCCACTATTTTTTTTTTTAGATATATTTATTTATGCTTACAGAACTGGGGTACAGGCCAGAGGTATGGTGGGTGACAGGATTCACCAGAGACAGAGTGGGGAGCAGAACAGGCAGATGGACTGAAACACACTGCTGAGGGGAGCAGCGGGCAGGTCAGGAGAGGTCTGCCGCGCCATGTGGGTCAGCTCCCTGGCCGGGGATCGAACTCATGTTGCAGTGGCTTCGGAGAGCTTCATAGTGCTGCGCTTTAACCCGTTGCTCCACCAGCGAGGGCCCGACAGCCACCCACTTTGATATACCCCACCTAAAGCAGCATGTTTTCCTCTTCCTGCCCAAAGAGACAAGTCAAAATCAACTTGCGCTGACTTTTCATGGAGCATCACTGTCTGCATTTCATCCCTCACGTGCTGAGAGTTGTGCCCAGCTTCTCCACCAGCCACTCCCCCCCGTCCGCTCCTCGTATTCCAGGCATATCATCTGAGAACTGTTCTGTCGAGGCAACGGCATATGTTTATATTTAGTACATAAAAGTGTACTTATAGAATGGCTTTTTGACCTTTGTGGTGCATTTCTACAAAATAAAACACTAGCAGTAAAGACAGGCTCAGTGGAAATACCCCTCAGTAAGGGTGACTTGTTCAAAGGCGACCCGAACAGTCTGACTTTGAGCTGCCCGACGGCGCCTGTGGGTCTGAGAGCTGAGCACTGTGGGTTGGGTGACTTCCCGAAGCCTCACCTCTACGTAAAAGCTAACGGAGGGACACGTGCGCTGCCCGGGGCAGTTTCGAAGTTGACTTCGAGCACTGTCCCAGCCAGTGCCGCGCGAGACCCTGCGAGGCTGGCGCTTCGCTTCACGGGTGAGGATCCCGAGTTGGGGGCCAGTCAGTCACTGGTGCTTGTTCACACTCTGAGAGACGGGCCGGGAATTGGATCTGGGTGGCAGGAGGCTGTCTCATTCTGCTCAGGAGACAAGATGCTCGTGCCCCGGGTAAAAACGCCTCTGGGTCCTCCTCTCCACCAGCAAGAGGCCAGAGGTGACCCCTCACCGCCAAGAGCGACAGCAGCAGCCTCCGCGGCCCAGATGCTGTGTCGCGGTTCACTGGGGTCAGCGGAAGCAGCGTGTTCTGGCTCCCAGACTCCTGTCCCCCCCTGCACGGTCCTGCCTGGTTACTAAAGTGCTCCCAGTTTTTGGCCACGTCTTTAATCAGTTATTCTTAGCCCCCACCTTCCCACGCAGGGACTGCTGCCCACCGGAGCGTCCTCGGGGCTGCTGCCACAGGCATCTGCCCTCGCCGGTTTCTGTCTCCCGCCTTCCCTTTCTAACGCCTGTTGTGGAACGCTTCCCCTTCTAACGTGCCTCTCCCTTTAAACCGTCCGCTCGATGCTTCTGGTCTCGCCCCACCGTGTGAAAGGACAACCCTTTGTACTAACCCTGCTCCTTATTGACCTGCCTTCACGGGAAGCCCGTGGGGCCCGGCGTGATGGGATCTGACGTAAGCGTAGCTGTGGCTGTGTGGGCGGGCTGAGCGGAGGGCAGGGGCTGAACTTTTGGCACTGACCCTTAGTAGGTCCACACAGAGTAGTCCAGACCTTGAGTTTCTACTTTGTTGCCAACAGACATACAGGGATCTTGGTGCCGACAGCCGTGGCAAGCCGAGTGCCCGCCTGAAGAGGGTAACAGAGCATGAGCTTGGGTGCTGAGAGCCGAGCCCATGGGGCACGCTGAGGGGCGGGGTGGGGTGTCAGGGGGAAGGCGGGGGTGGTCCTGTCTCCCTCGCTTTTTGCACACTCGTCACCCAGCCAAGAGCCAGGATTCATTTTGCTAAGTGCTGCTCCACGTGACTGAACAGCTTCCTGGGGGTCAGGCCGCCCCTGGCGTTCAGGCCAGATGCCCAGCCCGAGATGCC